GGAACGAATTTACGGAAAATCACTTAACAAACGGAGGCGTAACAATACCGAAGCCCTCCTTTTCAGAGGGGGGGGGGAGGATTGATCACTTCTCTTTTCACTAATTCGGGTTTGTTTGACCAAATATATCTGTAAACTATTGTATTTCTTTATTTTAATTTTGTTGTTGGAAGTGGCATACTTGTCCTGCATATGTGAGTTTTGCTAGTGTTACCTGTTTTACTTTCATTTATCATTTCTGTGAACTTATCTCCTAATTCATTCCAGTACTTTTTATAGAATTCTACTGGTAGCCCATCTGGTCCTGGTGACTTATTATTTTTCATGTTTTTTAGTCTTTCCTAGCATTCTATTGTTGTTAGTGGGTCTGATAGTGTGTAACTTTGTGTTGTACTTAGTATCTTAATGTGTTTAGTTAATTTATTCCATTTATCCGGTTTAGTTTGTTTGGGAGAGTATAAGTCTTCAAAGTGTTCAGCTGCAGTATTTAACATGTTTGGTGTGTTCGTGTGTTCTGTTCAGTTTTATCCGTGAGTTTGTTTATGTGGCCGTTTTTGCAGCTTTTCTTTTAGTTGTTTGTACAGTGTTCCAGATAATTTTTCTTCGTTGTCTAGTGTGTTGGCTTGTATTTTAACTTTTTTTTTTTTCTGGTTATATAATTCGTTAATTTCGCTTTCTAGTATTTGTAATGATTTAATAAATGTTGGGCCTTTTAATCTAGTTCTTGTTAAAGCTGTTATTGATCTTTCTAGAAAATCTATTCCTTTGTTTCTTTTCTTTGCTTGTTTTGCCTATTTATTTACAGAGTTGTTTTATTTCGTGTTTTAAGTTATCCCACCTACTTAAGGTTAGGTTTTCTATGCTACATAGTGTGTTTAGTTTTGTTCCTATTTGTTCTGCCGTGTCTGTAGTTTCGAGAAAAAGAGACATTGAGTTTCCAATGTCCCTGACCAGTTTCTCCTGTGTTGTTAACTGTAAACCTAATATATGGTGGTCTGTCACATAATTATCCTTTGTGTCAGTTGGGCTTACCCAGGTTTTTACCGCCGACTGCATATATAGATATATATCTCTATTTCCAATTGCTCATTGTTTGTGATTCCTGTATCACCTGTATTTCCTTAGTTACTTCTTTTACTGTATATTTGTAGTTTAAAAATCAATAAAACTAGGCTGTTTTTACTCTTGTGTTGTAATCATTTTAAGCCACAATTATCGAGCTGTTTTATACACACTTTTATAGAAACGTTTTTGGTGACGCTACTAGAAGTAGAATTATGATATTGTTACGTCTCCGTTTGTTAATTAACTTTCCGTAAC